GGGATGTGAGAGCGTTTGCGCGGCCGGGTTATCCTAGGAAACCCAACCGCCTTTCTGGAGGGGCAGGTTGGTACCTGCTGTACCTCGGGGAGACGGGGAGAGAAAGAGTGCTAATTGCTCAGCGCGCCGGAGAGCTGCTCTGGCCTGTAATTAGATGAATTAGTGGAACAATGACCCAATTTCCCTCGATTTTTGGATTGCTGCAAACAGCCCTGAGGTTGCTGCCTCCCTCTGTCCTACTCTCCTCCCTGTCCCCTCCTCCCTCATCCCCTGCTCCTCCAGTGCAGCCCTCCCTCCTCCTCCTCATCCAGCACCCCCGGGACCGAGCCCGGATGGGAGAGGAGGCCACGACCTCCGGCACAGCCGTCTGTGCTCCCGCGGCTCTGCCGGCATCCCCGAGCCGCAGCATCCCCGTCCCCGCAGCAGGTACAGAGTCCCCGAGTATTTCCACTGCTGGACTCGGTGTGCACCGGCTCCTTTCTGCCCCAATTTGTTTTGAGAGATGAGCTTCAAAAAAATCTTTGTGTTTTAAAAGAAAACCTCTGGAGTCCTTCCTGTGCCTGCCGGTTGCCTTCCAAGGTCATCAAAATTTCATTACTATAGACTTTTGAATGCATGTGAGGTTCTCGGCTCTTTCTTCGCAATCCCAGAGGTGGGACTCTAAGGAAGCTTCATGTGTGGAAAAAGCCAGAGCAGCTGATGGCTGGAGGGGCTGCCAGGGGAGCATGGGTGACCATCAGGGGAGCATGGGTGACCATCAGGGGAGTGACCCCCATTCCTGGGGCACCACCTCTGGTCCATGTGCCACCTCCCTGGAAGGGAGTTTAAACCCATGCAGCTCTGATGAACACTACGTCTGCAGCGTTGACTGCATGGCATGGGTGATGACCAGCAGTGCTGTGTGGAGCTGTCCCCCCGCGTGGGACATCGATGAGGGGCTGCCAGGGCTGGGTGGCCCCCAGGTGGCTATGGCTAGCCAGAGTGGCCCGTGAGCTTTGGTGCCAGCATCAAACGGGGCTTGCTAGCATGTGGGCTTTGGAAGGTGTTGAATCTCTCTATCTGCCCAGGGATGTGGTGCTCCTCACGGCTCCCCCCAGCCTGGCGTGAGAACATGGCTCTTGGCACTGGGGTGGCCGAGGGCTCTGCCCGGGTAACTCTGCTCTCTCCCTGTCTGCCCGCAGCATCCTCGCCACTGCTGGGACGCACTTCAACACCCACGTGGACCTGCGGACGCTGCGGGCCGTGCGCGTGCTCAGACCTCTGAAGCTCGTCTCGGGCATTCCCAGTAAGTTGGATGCTCCTGGTCCTCCTCCTCCGCATCCGTCCTTGATGTCCTTCAGGGTGAGAGTGGTCCTCGTGCCACCTCGGAGACGTAGGGTGAAATCAGGGAAGAGGGGGACAAACCTCCCCCACGTAGTGGGAACTCTAGGATGGCAGCGTTTGGTGTCCCCGGGTGACATTTCCCCCCGCCCAGCCCGCTCTGTGCTGGCACAAGGCTGGGCTCGGCGGCTTGCCGGGGCCCACCGGCGGCTCCGCTTCCCTGGCCAGAAGGCGGTGGGTGGATCCTTTCAGGACTGAGGTTTATTCAGGGGAGATTTTGGGGTTTTTTTTGCAAGATTTCATCTGCCGGCACGGGGATAAATAAAGAAACTAGGCTGCTGCTGGCACCAGTCTTCCCATCCCTTCTGCCCTGGGCACCGTGCTAGATCCATGCCTTGGGGGCAGTGAGGGGGACAGAGCTGCACGGGCCATGTCCCACCAAGCCCAGGTGGGACAAGGACAGGCAGGATACCAGAGGGGGGACCAGATCCAGAAACCAGCCCTCTTGGAGCCTTGTTCTGCAGCCTGGCCCTCCCTGCTCCCCCTGGGATGGTGCTTTTCTCCATGGTCCTCAGCTGCCCAAAGATCCTCCAGGCTGTGCTGGCCTCTTGCATCTGTCTGATGACTGTCCATCCTCTCTGCTCACTGTTCTCCTCTTGCCAGAGGTGGGATGGACGTGCCCCAGGCAGGGGGTTTGATCTCCGTGCTGAGCTGTGCTCTTTCTTTCCCCTCCCAGGCCTGCAGATTGTGCTGAAATCCATCATGAAGGCCATGGTGCCTCTCCTCCAGATCGGCTTGCTGCTCTTTTTCGCTATCCTCATGTTTGCCATCATCGGCCTGGAGTTTTACAGCGGGAAGCTGCACCGAGCCTGCTACACAAACAATTCAGGTGGGGAGAAGGGCTCTGCACCCGCGCCGCGTCCCACGGGTGGAAAACAGCCGGGACGAGCGCATGTTGCTATTGTGGGAAGCCCAGGGCTGGGAAGATCCTGCGTTTTGCTTTATGCACACCAGGCATCACCCAGTTGCGTTCAGGATGTCCCAGTTTCTTACGGGAGCAGTTTGCGTGCAGCCAGGGCTAGTCCCAGCGTGGTCCCCTGCTTTGCCCCGAGCCCATCTGCGGTCAGGCTCTTCCCTTTGCCTGTCCCTGCCTCTCTCTTACCTCTCCTTCCTTTGGCTCTCTGCTGTATGCTTGCAGGTGAACTGGAGGAGCTGGACCCCCCCCATCCGTGCGGGGTGCAGGGTTGCCCCCCAGGCTACGAATGCCGGGAGTGGATCGGTCCCAACGACGGGATCACGCAGTTTGACAACATCCTCTTTGCTGTGTTGACCGTCTTCCAGTGCATCACCATGGAAGGGTGGACCACAGTCCTGTACAATGTGAGTAGTGCCACTCTGGGGTCTCTTTGGGCAGCTGGAGATGGATGGGGAGCTGGAGACAGTATTTCTGTGTCCTGGAAACCTGTGAGATGCTGAGTTTCCTTTGTGATGGAGATGGGGTCAGTCCATCCCATTTGGGCAGGAGATGGGGAATGAAGAGGTGCGTGTTATGTGTCTCTGGGCAAAGGGAGCTCCAAGGGCTTTAGCCCCCATCTCTGGCCTGGTTGTGCAACCCGCTGCAGAGAGCAAAACCCTGCCGGGTATGGGCTGCAGCAAGCCACTGGCTCAAGGGCCGTCCCTGGGGAGCGGGGAGGCATCCTTCCTTCCCTCCTCTTCCTCCTGTGCTCCCTGGGGCAGCTCTCTAAGAGCGGACGTGGTTTCTGGGCACTGCGCATCCTCCCTGCGGACCACGCGGTGCACGTGCCTGCATCCCTGCAGCAGCCTTGGGAAGCCACGGAGATGGGCTCAGACCCCTTCCCTGGGGCAAAGGAAGCGTTTTGGTGTCCAACAGGGAGCTGAGACCTTTGGTATTCGTGCTGCCAAACGTCTGTTGGTGCTGATGAAGCTGGGCTGGGTTCCTGTGGTTTGCAGCCGCTTGAAGTTGCCGATGCCCGAGCCCTTGGGGTACGCCGGGAGTGACTTGGGGGCAAAGCTGGAAGCAGGAAAAGAAAAGCTACCGGTGATCGCAGAGTGTGATATTGTTGTGGGTGATTGGCCGTATATGTACGCTTTAGTTTATGGGCTAGAAGCAGCCGTGACAGTTCTGTTCCCAGCCTAATTTCAGCATCAGTTTTGGCATCATTGCACCGGCAATGTTTTTATACCCTGGTTCCCGTAACACCTGGAGATTTGCAGAGTGGCATTGCTCTGTGGGAGGCAAATTGGATGGCTTGTGATGGGAAACATGCTTCAATAGTACTTCGTTGTAAGCAGAAAGGCTGGCTTTTAACCCTAGGCGAAGGTACCTTGCTGCGCTGGGGTCCCCCTCCTGCTCGGTCCATCCCAGGGTCCTTCTGGGGGTGCCGGATGGTGTGCGCAGGCAGACGGACCATGAAACCCAGATTGGGGTAGAAAGGGGAGAGTTCATGGCAAGGGGTTGACCTTGCCACGAGGATTTGGTTTTCTTCTTCCTAAAGGAGATGGCGGTGTCTGGATCTTGCTGCTTCGGCGGGGGAATTAGGCAGGATTGCACCACCTGGGAGCTCAGACTGAAGAAAGACCATTTCTTGGCTGCTTCTGGCTTATCAATGAGATCAGAGACTCGACTACAGCACCTATTGCCGAGGCAATAGCAGGAAAGGTGCATTTTCCTGCCTGGTGCTGTGGTTCCCCTGCCTCTAGCACAGCTGGGCAGCTGCTGCCTGCTCACCCCGCTGTGCCGCAGCCCGAGCGTGCCCAGCGCTGCCCGTGCCCGGCACCAGCGACCTGCCCTGCGCCTTGTTTCTTGCATTAATGACTGGCAAAAGCCAGGGGCTGCTTCCATCGGCGCTCCCCTCCTCCCCGTCCTTCAGCGCCTGCAGCAATTAGCAGCAACGTTCCCCGTGCTAGAACCCTGGTTGCGGTGTGTGAGGAGCTGGTGAGCTACACGGATGGGCAATTGATGGTCTGATCGATCTTGTGGGTTTGTACCGGCAATTCCCGAGAAAGTCTGGTCTCCTGCCATTTAGGGTGTCCTTACTGGAGCTGATCCGTTTGATATCTGGGATTTGCTGATCCACCATCTGGATCTTACTGGGGGCAAGGGTGGGAGATGATGCTGGGAGCACCGATAACCATGCTCTGCGGGACCTACCCTGCGGGATCCCCTGTTTACCACTATAGCTGCTAAACTGGGGGCTTTCTGGGTTATCTGGGGAGCCACAGCCCCAGTATCCCAATGCTTTTCCCAGCAGCAGTCGCGATGCCGGGCAGACGCGCTCTGTCACTCTGTCCCCGATGGCCGGGACCGTAAGGTGCCTCCCTTTCCTGCTCCTCTGCAAAGAAGCAGCTATTACTTACTTATAATGGAAGGGATTAGGGACCTTCCTTGGCTTTTAATTGAATGAGGGTTTGGGCCTTGGTATAGTAAAATGCTGCTGATTCACTTTGGGAGGCGGCGAGGGACGGGCACTGTTCCCAGCACTGCTGGGCTGTGCCTCCCGCCCCTCCCCGGGGACAGGGGCTGTCTCATAGGGTGCCTTTAGGTTGCAAAGGCTATGGGTGCTCAATCCTTTTGCTGCTTGGAAGCAGCAAAATGGGCTTCTGCCTTTTTTTTTTTTAATAGAAAAATGAGGCATACACATGGGGGATGCGGTCCCCGGGGGGGATGCTGGAAGAGGGCTGGGCAGGGGTGGAAAGCCACTGGGATGCTCTGCCATCACCTTCGTCACTCGGAGCAGCAAACCAGAGCAGGCTCCCACTGCTAACCAGCATGGCCCTTGCCCAGCAGAGGCCCCAGGTTTGGGGGGGTTGGTGGGGGACTCTCTGCTTTCCCACCGGAGTAAAGCGATGGGAGGCTGCGTCCTTGCAGGTTAACGCCGCAGAGGAGAGGGAGGTTGCAGGAAAACTACTTTAGCAATCTCTCAAAGAAATTGCTTACTATAGTATCCCCCTGTGTAACTCTATCATGATTTTAAGATCCATTTTTCCACAATTTTACCGGGAGTGGAAGCGTGGCTCCCGGAATTTGTAGATAGAATCACGAAAAGCTAATCGGCCCCGTGGTACTTTCCATGTGTGTTATTTCATGGATGTGCTTGCCTTTTGTCTTGTTTTCATCAGCCTTGCCTGCGTGAAATGCTGTCTTGCTAGGTAGAAATCACAGTATGAGTTAAAAAAAAAAAGCCTCGAATTGTGGGGTGTTATAGCTTTTCCAGCTCCTGTCCCTGGGACCCTGAAGGACTTTAATTTCTTTTAGAGGGGAGTTTCAGCTTTGTGGTTCCTCTGGCTGTCTCTGTGGCCCAAAACAGGGGGCTAAGGAGTATTTCGCTTTTCTTCTTATGCTGGAGGAGATGCCCCTTCCCTGGGCTGGCTGGAGACCAAACCTGATTTCTGTAGGGACCAGAGGAAAAAATAACGCTGGCAAAGAGGCTCGCTGTCCTACTTCTCCACCTCTGCCGGCGTGCCGGCATGGGGCAGGGGCTGGGTTGCAGTTTTGTCATTAAGCAGCGATGCTGGGGTCCGGGAGGGGGTGGCCGGGCTGGTGAGGGGCAGCCGCTGTGTGCCACGGGGCTGGCCGGGCACGGCACAGGCGCTCGGTGGTGCTGGTGGCTTTGGATGCTCAGCTTGGCTCCCCGGTCCTGGAGAGCAATCAGGAGAGGAGTTTGAAATCGTTATTTCCTCCGAAACACCGACTCGAGAGACTGTGTTTATTGACCGAGATTATTTATTTGCTTTCCCGTTTGGAAGCGCTCAGCTACTGTGCTTGCAGGTAACGAGGAGGAGCCTGGCTTGCCGGGAGCTGCCACTCTCCTCTTCCCCC